AGTGTGGGCTTGGGGCTGGAGCTGTGCTGAGGAGGGGGCCGTCGGCCTGGCCGTGGCTGCTGCACCCCCTTCCTGGCTGACTCAGCAACCGTGGAAATACACGGATCCTGAGTGAGACCCACCCTGGGGTCTTCCTTCCAGGCTGCCTGGGGGCAGAGCCCAGCGGAGGAAGGGTGCCTGGCATTGGAATGAGCACACGGGGTCCACAGGTGATCGAGGGCCTGGAGCAGGGGCACCGCAGACCCCAGAGCTTTCTGTGCCACTAGAGCAGGGCCCACGTGCGATGTTCCCGGTCAGGCCGGCTCTCTTGGCCTTGTAGCTGGAGCAAGCTCTGGCCTGGGCAGCACAGTCGGGATCCTGGTCCCTAAGTGCACACCTGGGTTTTCCCGGAGTCATGTGTCCTGCATGCTGGGCTGGGGTCACAGGGGGCTCGTTCCTCTCTACCTGCAGAGCACGCAGGGCTCTGTGCGGGGTCCCGCTGGCCCCACCACTCTGAGTGGAGCAGTTCATGAGCCTCCCGGCCCTGGGCGGCTCCAGTCCCCAAGAAGCAACACACAGACCCGGCTCAGCCCGCCACAGCTGAATTCCTCCCTGCGTGTTCACGCAGAGCAGCTGGGCCATGCGGGTGCGTGTGGACGGGGAGCAGTGGAACTGTGTGCACGGGGGGCAGTGGGGCCGTGTGCACGGGGAGCAGTGCATGGCTGTGGGCTAGCCTGCACTCCCCTGGGAGGCTGTGGGCTAGCCTGCACTCCCCTGGGAGGCTGTGGTTGTCAGCACCACGTCGGCTTTTCCCTCCGTCTTTAGACAGTGCAGTGTTCGAGCGGAGTGAACAGCCCTGTGTTCTCACTCCCAGCGCACACACCAGGTACCTGCTGTGACCGACGCCATGAGCCTCATCCACAGCGCTGACATCTTCTGTCCCGGGGACGCCTGCTCATGCGTGTCGCGTGTGCCGTGCACATGTGTGTAGCAGCCTTGCTGTCTCCCTACACTCACTTCCTGGCCTGTCACTGCTTCTCAGATCCCACACTTCCAGGGCACCAGCACTGCCAGGAGCATGCTGACTTCATCTGCTGGCTGCGACAGCTGACCCTGGCCTTTGCCCGCCCGTGGGACAGCTGACCCTGGCCTTTGCCCACCCATGGGACAGCTGACCCTGGCCTTTGCCCGCCCGTGGGACAGCTGACCCTGGCCTTTGCCCACCCGTGGGACACACTGACCCTGGCCTTTGCCTGCCCGTGGGACACACTGACCCTGGTCTTTGCCCGCCCATGGGACACACTGACCCTGGCCTTTGCCCACCCATGGGACACACTGACCCTGGCCTTTGCCCGCCCGTGGGGCAGCTGACCCTGGCCTTTGCCTGCCCGTGGGACACACTGACCCTGGCCTTTGCCCGCCCGTGGGACAGCTGACCGTGGCCTTTGCCCGCCCGTGGGACAGCTGACCCTGGCCTTTGCCCGCCCGTGGGACACACTGACCCTGGCCTTTGCCCGCCCATGGGACAGCTGACCGTGGCCTTTGCCCGCCCGTGGGGCAGCTGACCCTGGCCTTTGCCCAGTGGGCTGTCCACCTGCGCCCAGTGCATGCTGAGGGAGTCGGCGCCATCCCCGTCTGCTGGGATTTGTGTGACGAGTGTGTGGTGGATTTTGCCGGATGCTCCCACGCGTGTCTCCATGTTCAGTGCCGCTGGTGTCTTCTGTGAACACCAAGCAGCTTCGTGTTCTGGAAGAGTCCGGCCTGAGTGCGCCGCTCCCTGCTCCCCGGCCGACTCCAGGTTTCACGCGCTGCCGTGTGGGCGGCAGCCTTGGTCGCGGGAGCGGCAGGTCCGCCCCCCGGAGCCGCGCCAGCCTCTCAGCGCACCTGCCAGCTCCGTATTTTTAGCAGCTGAACTCGGGCTTCGGTGGTGGTGACTTGTGTGTTTTCGAGGAGCTGAGCCAGTCCGCGTGGTTTCTGAATCTGTCGACCCCGTGCTGTCACGCACATGTCACCTGCCTGTGGAACGCGCCTGCCGGGCGGCAGTGGCAGCTGCTCCCGGGCGTGGCGACTCGGCGTCTGCCTGGGTCCCCGCCGTCTGGACAGGACGCGGTAGTTGTGTTGATTTTTTCAGGAATCGGCTTTGGGTTTTGGTGATTTCGGTGGGTGGGGTTTCCCGTATTTGCTCCCGGCGTCTTGGACCCTGGCCTTGTGCAGGCTTTGGTTCTTCTGCGGTGGTGGACGCAGGTCTCGCTGCCTCGCGGTGAGAGCCCGAGGCCGATCTCGCCGGGCCTGGCTCAGCTGCAGCCCACAGTGCTCTCACGTCCACGTTCTCATCCGTCCGGTTCAAAAGGTTTCCTGAATTCCCTGAAGTATTTACAAGGATTTATTAAACTGAGAACAGTTTGTGGTTTTCCTGGAAGCCATTTTCTCATTGGCTTCTCTGTGGTCAGCGAGTGCACCCTGTGTGGTCCGGGGCCTCCCGCGTGCAGACGCTGCTGGAGCAGAGGAGTGGCTGCCCCGGGGCGCAAGGGCCACACAGGAGGACGCAGACCCCGTGGTCGTGGATGTGGCAGAGGACATGGCCCCCGTGGCTGGCGTCGGCATTCGTGTCCTCTGCTTGGTGGCCTACTTTTTGTGCCGTTGTCCCTCAGTTTTGCTGGGAGACCAGCTGTGGCTTTGGCGCTGTTTCTCCTTTGGTTTTCTCACTCTGTGTCCCGTATGTTGAACCCTTTCCTAAGCACACACATTTGCTGCGTGCACCCCACAGCAGGTGACGCCCCGGCTCCCCGGCTCCCCGGCTCCGGATCTGACGTCGCCTCCTGGTGGAGAGGCCTGGGGTGGCCCTGAGAGCCTCGGCCATGGCGTGGGAACGGCAGCTCCGTCACAATTTAATCAGAGTTTTGGGATTTTTTTTTCTTGCCCAACAATGTTTTATTTATTTTGGGTTAACATATTTTTAACTCACATTATAGCCAGAGGCTTGGCGCTCCACTAAATTGAGAGTTCATCAAATAAAAAGCTGAGCCGGAAAACAGACGGGGGCTTTGTAAGGACGGACAGGAGACGCGCACTGTGCCATGGAGTAGACCGGTGGCCCTGCAGCCATCTGTTTCAGGCTTTTTCCTCTGTTTTTATTCTTCCATTCTTCCATTCTTCCTCTGCCTCTTCATTTTGAATTACTTTTTTTTTTTTTTTTTTTTTTTTTTTTGACAGGCAGAGTGGACAGTGAGAGAGAGAGAGAGAGAGAGAGAGAAAGGTCTTCCTTTTGCCATTGGTTCACCCTCCAATGGCCGGCGCGCTGATCCGATGGCAGGAGCCAGGTGCCTCTCCTGGTCTCCCATGGGGTGCAGGGCCCAAGTACTTGGGCCATCCTCCACTGCACTCCCGGGCCACAGCAGAGAGCTGGCCTGGAAGAGGGGCAACTGGGACAGAATCCGGCGCCCCGACCGGGACTAGAACCTGGGGTGCCGGCACCGCAAGGCGGAGGATTAGCCTAGTGAGCCATGGCGCCGGCCATTGAATTACTTTCATATGCATTAAAAATTCATTTTAATTTATAACTAATTTCTTGTGGTTGCTTTGGGACCACACCCACGGCCTCCTCACTCCAGCTCGGGGGTGGCCTGCTAGTGGGGGCCGAGGCCAAGAGTGAGGGGCTGGGCCGGGCACAGCGGCGAAGCTGCCGCCAGCGTCGCAGGTATCGCACCCAGGGCGGCTTGAGTCCCGGCTGTCGTGGGCATTTGGGGAGTAAACCAGTGGACGGAAGACTCTGTGTGTGTGTGTGTGTGTGTGTGTGTGTCCTTCTCTTATGCTCTGCCTTTCAAATAAATTTTTTTCAATTAATGAAAAATGGACTTAAAATATGTCTACTTAGGTGCAAAAAATTCTGAAATCCATGCACATAGAAATCTTCAGAAAGTTGATGGAAAATGCATATGATGAAAAAATGTGGATTTCAGTACATTTCTGCACCAAAGTAAATTGACCCTTTAATTCCATTTTCCCTGAACTTTCTGAAGCGCCCCCTCTGTCACCCTCACGTGCACTGAGACTCCTCAGGAAATGTGAAGATTCTTTAAAAATTATTTATTTTTTATTTATTTGAAAGAACAACAAAGCGGGTGCAGAGGGAGAGGAAGAGAGAGAGTCTTACACCTGCTGGCTCACTCCCCAAGTGGCTGTGACAGTCGGGGCTGAGTCAGGAGCTGCCTCCAGGTCTCCCACGCGGGTGCAGGGGCCCAACACCTGGGCTGTCTTCCACTGCCTTCCCAGGCCATCAGCAGCCGGGACTGGAACTGGGGCTTGGCTGTGGGATGCCGGCACTGCAGGTGGCGTCTTTGTGGCCGCACCACTGCGCCGGGCGTGGCAGTCCTGTGCTCACCGCCACATGAGGAAGCAGCCATTCCCTCCTCCTCACGGACACCCCCCCCCGCGGGGAAGGCAGCGTTCCTGAAGCTCCGCCCCTTTCTGATCACATGGCCTCCACATCGCCCCAATCCTAGAGAGCAGCTCCTTTTCCCCCAGGGCTGGTCATGGGCCTCACGGCCCAAGGGGGTGCCCCGCGCTGCCCATCTGAAACTGGCCCCTCGGTGGCCCCATCAACAGGCAGCCCAGGTGGTGGCGCATGAGGGCCCCCATGCCCAGGGACAGGCACTGCACCCGGCCCTCGGATACCGCAGACACCAACTCCGCGGGATGGACACTTGAGGCCCTGCAGAAGCCAGCGCCAGCCGGTTCCCAGCGTGGACACTCCGGTCACTGGGGCTGATGGACCGGAACAGCAGAGGCCTCCAGGCAGCCACCCTCCGGCTCGGCCACCAGCTGCCAGGGGAGGGGCGTCCTGGCGGTGACCCTGCTGGGAGTGTCAGTGCCCAGGGCTCAAGCGCCCCGCCCACAGGGTCCCCACGGGTTTCTGTTGTGGGGTTGGCTCTGTGCTGTGGGCCGTGGGCCGGGAGCCCAGAGGGAGGCGGGAAGCAGCTCCCGCGCGCCCCAGGCAGTGAGCGTCTTTTGCTCCCTGACAGGTTCTACCTCCTCAGTGGGGGGGTCCCTTTCATCATCTGCGGGGTCACAGCCGCCACCAACATTGGGAACTACGGGACGGAGGACGGGGACGCAGCCTAGTGAGTAACGAGGGCAACAGCGAGGGTGGTGGGGAGGGCGGCCCCGCACAGGCTCCTCCCCCGCTGTGCCCAGACCCCCCCCAGCTGCTGGGCCCGGCTGGAATCCTCTGCCCTCAGCCAGGCAGGACGCTGGGCTCAAGCCGGTCTGCACAGGAGTCCCCACCCTGGGCGTGCAGGGCCCCGCCCCCAAGCCTGGGATTCTTTGCACAGGGAAGGGCTGCAAGACCACCGACCCTACCCCCGCCCGCCCCAGCCCCGGCAGGTCCTCAGAGGGGCCTCCCTCCCAGATGAGCGCGCAGGCCGGGCCCCTTCCTGCGGCTTCTGTCCTCTGGCCCTGTTGGGCATTCCCTGAGCTCAGCGCAGACCCGGCGCCCAGTGCAGACGCGCGGGGGCGCGGGGGCGGCGGCCCCTCGGTGTGGCCCCGCTGACTGGTGACCGTTTCTCCCCGCAGCTGCTGGATGGCCTGGACACCCAGCCTGGGCGCGTTCTACGGGCCGGCCGCCTGCATCACGCTGCTCACCTGCGTGTACTTCCTGGGCACCTACGTGCAGCTGCGGCGCCACCCGGAGCGCAGGTACGAGCTCCGCGAGCGCACGGAGGAACGGCAGCGCCTGGCGGCGCCCGAGTGCGGCCTGGGCCACGGGGCACCCACGACGCCGCCCGCCTGCGAGGCCCCCGCGCCCTCGCAGCTGCAGAATGAGCACTCGTTCCGGGCCCAGCTGCGGGCCGCCGCCTTCACGCTGCTCCTGTTCGATGCCACGTGGGCCTTCGGGGCGCTGGCCGTGTCCCAGGGCCCTTTCCTGGACATGGTCTTCAGCTGCCTGTACGGCGCCTGCTGCGTGACGCTGGGGCTCTTCGTGCTCATCCACCACTGCGCCAAGCGCGAGGACGTGTGGCGCTGCTGGTGGTCGTGCCGCCCCGCGCGCGGCGCGCTCCGCAAGGGCCCTGCGCTCGACGCCAACGGGGACGCGCTCGGGCCCGCCGCCTGCCTGCAGGACTCGCCGCACCCCGGCCAGCCCCGGGCCTTCGGCCACTGCAAGATGACCAACCTGCAGACCGCCCAGGCCCACGCCCGCTGCCTGTCGCCCGCCACCCCCTGCTGCGCCAAGACGCACTGCGCGCCGGCGGAGGAGGAGCCGGGGTTGTGCGAGGACGCCGCCTGTGCGCACGGCCCGCACCTGCACCGGTGCCTGCCGGCCAGCGCCGAACCTCTCTACTTCGGCGGGCGCGAGTACGCCTACCACCTCCCATCCAGCCTGGACGGCAGCCCCCGCAGCTCCCGCACAGACAGCGCCCCCAGCTCGCTGGACGGCCCCGTGGGGGCGCACGCGCTGGCCTGCTGCGACCAGAGCGACCCCTTCGCCAGCGTCGGCGAGCCGGCCGGCGGCGAGACCAGCCCCGGGCTCTATGGCTGCGCTCTGCGGCCTGGCCGGGAGGCGGCCCTCGGCCCCGCCCAGCTCGAGCTGCTGCGCAGGACGCAGTCCCTGCCCTTCGGCGGCCCCGGCCAGAACGGGCCGCTCCAGGGCGACGCTTGCGCGGCGCTGCCGTTTGGCACCGACGGTACTGGCAACATCCGGACAGGGCCCTGGAGGAACGAGACCACCGTGTAGGGGCGGGGGCGGCGGGGCCCGTGGGGTCGCTGAGCTTCTCAGAAGCTGTCCACGCCACCCCCTTCCAGAGAGACCCCGGTGAGTGGGCTCCAAGCCCCGCCAGTCCCACTGCATCCGCCCGCAGGGTGCCCAGAGGTGTTTGCGTGGGCAGCCGCCAAGGCCGCGGTGCAGGGCAGCCCAGAGCCAGTGACGGCAGTGAGGAAGCCACCCTAGGACCCCAGCGTGGCCAAGGCCGCGGGGCCCCCGTAGGGCCCAGCTCTGCCCTCTCCTCATGTTGTGTGTGTGTGTGTGTCCTGTTCTGCTCCAGGGGCGGCGCAGCGGTCCGGAGGCCACAGCCGCCTCCCTCGCTGCAGCTAGGTGCACCCACAGCGCCCCGGGCCCACTGTCAGCGCTGTCCCAGGCACAGCCCCGGCCATGTGGCCCTGAGACCACGGGGATGCTGTGGGGCCAGGCAGCGATCTGGAAGGACCTCCAGGGCAGGGGCCGCTGGGCCGTGGGCAGCTGGACAGAGACGTTCCCTGGATGGGGCCTGACCTGTGCCCCTCTGTGCGCTGCGGGAAGCCCAGGAGCCTCCTGCGACAGCCGAGGCCTGGGGTCAGACTGGCACAGCCCCTCCTCCACATGCTCAGTCTGCCACCTGCTCACAGGTACATGTGCACAACACACGTGCCTCGTACACACAGCACCCCGAGCTCCAGGTCGTACTCTGCAGAGCCCTGTCCATGCCCATGTCTGTGTCCCCGTCGGCCGGGGTCTCCCCGTGTGCTCTGCCCACCGGGAGGGCCGTGGGGCTCCCCCTGGCTGCAAGGGCAGAGTTGCCCGGGCCAGGCCCAGCGTCAGGACAAGCAGCCCTGCTTCCGCCAGTGACCTGGTAACTCACCTCCTTCCGCCCGCCGTGAGCTCCTCGTGTCCTCCTGATAGTCGGCCAGGCCTCGGCCCCTGCCTCCCCGCCCTGCAGCTTCTGTGGCTGCACAGACCAGGCCCTGAGCCACGCTGAGCCCACACTGTAGACACAGAGCCCTCCCAGTGAAAATACAGGATTTTGCACTGTTTGCCCGCGTGCCACTGGTCAGTAGCATCCCACACACGCCTGTTTCTCACCTTGACCGAGGGGCTTCCCAGCCCTGGGTCTCTGCCCTGGGCCTGGGGCAGGACCGGGAGCCCCATCACGCCGCCCCTTCCAGACTGCCCACGCCTTTCAGAACAGACAAGCACCTCGTCATACAACCCACGTGGTCAACACTGCCTGGCCAGCCCACGGCTGCATGTGCCGTCGCCTCGTGGGCCACCAGCACCATGTCATGGTGTGGCCCGTTTGCACGCCACACCATGGTCGCCCCAAGGCCCCAGCACAGAGCCCACACCCACAGGCAGAAGGCAGGGGAGCTGACCCAAGCCTGTGGCCTGCAGGCCAGCATCTGTCTCTTCCTTCCGTGAGTGCACATGTGCGTGTGTGAGTGCATGCATGTGTGTGAGGATGGGTGTGCCTCTGTGGCATTTGTGGGAGCTGTGGGTGCACCTGTGCCAGTGCGTGTGTGTGCATGTGTGTGCGTGTGCACTCATCAGAGGAACATGAGGCACCCACTCTGCCTGGCCTCTCTGCTGCTGGCAGGTGTCCCCAGGGGACAGGACGGAAGAGCTGGGCAGCCTGTGAGAGGGTCAGAGGACACAGACTGCCCACAGCCCAAGGGCAGTGCACCCCTAGCGGGGGCCACCCCAGGCTCACCCCTGCCCCCGCCCCCAGGGCTGTGGCGTTTCCAGGTGAGTCCTGTGGTAGGATGGGCGCACACTCGCCATGGGGAGTGTCCTTGGTCCACGCATGTGCAGCCCAGACCCTCGCTGGTCTCGGCCGTGGGAGGGGAGGGGCTCCTGGCCTGGGCTGGGGAGCTGAGTCCCACTCTGTGCCACTGGCCTGATTGCTCCTGGTCTGAGCCAAGTTCCGTGGCCTAGAGCAACAGCATGCTCGGCCCTGAGTGGCTACTGTGGCTTTGGTGTCCCTGTGGGGCAGGGCCCGTGGCTGGCACCTGGTGAGTCTCTCCCAGAAGGTTCAAGCGCAGCTGGCATCCTGTGCCTGAGTGTCCACCCGTCTGGACCCCGGCTCCTCTCTGACCCAGCTCCCTGCTAATGCAGACCCTGGGGGCAGCAGTGAGGGCCCAGGTGCTTGGGCCCCTGCACCCACGTGGGAGACCTGGATGGAGTGGCTCCTGGTCTCAACCTGGTCCTACCATGCTCGTGTGGGCCTTTGTGGAGTGAGTCGGTGGATGGAAGCACTCGCTCGCTCTCTCTCTCTCTCTCTCTCTCGCTCTCTGCCTTTCAAGTAGATGAAAATAAACAGGTACACATTTTTACAAACCAAGCAGACTCCACTCAGGGCCTTCACTGTGGTGGGGGCCAGATGGGCACAGAGCCACACGGCGGGGTGGGGGCCGCGGGAGCTGAGCGGGGCTGCAGGAGGAGCCCACCCACCACGTGGTTCTGGGACACCTGAGCCCAGATCTGCTGAGTGCGCACTCACCACGCTCTGGGTCTCGAGAGCCGGCGTTGGCACAAAGATTCAGACACCGTTAATGCAGGTTCCAGACCTGATTTCAAAAAGAGCTGAAAGACTTCGGGAAACGGTTTAATGGCCGCTTGGACGCAGGCGAAGGAAGACGCTGAAGTGAAAACACCCACCAGCAAGCCGCAAACCAGGGGTGACAACGTGGGGGGGTCTCCTTGTGCTCAGGGCCAGAGGGAGGGCGGAAGAGAATCCTGAAAAATCCCTGAGCGCCAGTGGCAAGACTTTCGCCGAGCCACCGACCCGAGGTCCCGACTCCCAGGCGATTCAGACAGGAAATGAAGTCGTGGTAATGCAGGCAGGAGAGCAAGGAACCCAGGACAGGACACGCCCACAGGCCCGCCCCTCGCACCCAGGGCACGCCCACAGGCCCGCCCCTCGCACCCGGGGCACGCCCACAGAGGTCTTGGTCCTCTCCTCGCACGCGGGACACGCCCACAGGCCCGCCCCTCGCACTCGGACACGCCCACAGAGGTCGGGGGTGGGGGGCCCCGGGCAAGGCAGCCTCGCGCCCCCTTTGGGGGGGTGCTTTGCGCCCATCCACCCGCTGCCAAGCAGGCGCCGCTGCGCTGAGAGCACCAGGCCCCGGAACGGCCGAGGGCTGGAGACTGGCGGCAGCAGGCCGGCGCCCACCCCGCACCCGGCTCGCCTGCGACCCTGCCTCCTGCTCGCGCCCTGGGCAGCAGGGTCCCACCACCCTCAGAGACCCGGAGGGAGCGCCTGGCTTCCCCCGGCCCAGCCCCCGCATCTGGGGCGACCAGCAGATGGATCCCTCTGTCTCTCTCCCTTTCAAGTCCGTGAAAATAAATAAACATTAAAAATACCGGTACACAGGCGAGCTTGCTCCAGTCGCAAACCTCAGTGACCCTAACTGAGCAGGGTCAGCTGACCCAGCAACAGTGCAGACCGGCGGCCTTCTTGCTTTTAAAGGTTGATTGATGGACTGGAGAGGCAGAGTTAGAGCAGAGACCCCCAGATGGCGGCCACGTCATCTGACGGCCCAGGAGCTCCACCAGGGTCTCCGAGGTGGGCACAGGGCCCAAGCCCTTGACCATCACCTGCTTCCTCCCAGACTGGATCACGGCAGCTGGGCAGCCACACGGGGCACACACGGGACGTAGCACACACGTGACGAGCACCTGGCCGCTGCACTCAACTCCACACCAGCAAAGCCACACACGTGAAGCGAGCGCCGAGGGGCCGGAAGCAGCCCCAGTGTCGTCAGTGCTCCTGGGACTTAGGGCGACGCGGGGGCAAGACTGGAAGCGCACTCCTGCCCCAAACACCGGCTGAATCTCGAAATCATGGTGAGTGAAAAAGCCACACACAGCACACATATCCTAGGCATGCAAATACAGCACGTGCTGCATCTGTGTCAGTGCGTGAGCACACGTGTGATCTGGCTGCGTGGCTGTGTGTAGTGTGTGGGCATGCGTGGCTGTGGCTGTGAGTGTGGTTGTGCACACGTGTGGCTGTGTATGTGTAGTGTGTGGGCATGCGGGTGAGTGAGTCATGTGTGGACCACATGTGTGGACCGCATGTACACATGTGTGACTATGTGTGTGTGGTGTGCACACATGCGGTGCAGCTGCTGCAGCCCCACGTGGAGCTCAGGGCACTTCCTCAGTCGGCCACCTGACCGCCCCAGACCTGGCCACTGCTCGCAGCTCCCTGCCCTGTCCCCGCAGGAGGGAGGGGGCTCCTGCTCCCTGCCCTCCTCCCACGGGAGGCCCTCAATCGTGATTCCCCAGGACCGGTGATTTGGACCCCGTGAGCCGGCCTGGCTGCAGGCCACCACCAGCACCTGCCAGCTCCCAGCCAGGCCTCACTGCCCCACCTGCTTATCGGCCTCAGCACCTCTTACACAAGCCACAGCCACAGCCGGCCACAGACCCTGCCTGAAGGATACCTGGCACAAGCCCCGCCTCCTACAGGAAGGGGCATTTGTTAAGTGCCTACTGTGTACCTGGGTCAGCCAGGCTCTGAAGCTGGGATCAGCCACACAGAGTGGTGGCCCCAGCATCTTCTCTCCTGTGGGAGCTCTGACGAAAAGGAGGCACCCCAGCTCCCTGCTGAGACCGGGGCAGGCTGGGGGCACCAGCACAGGCACTGGGATAGGCTGGGGGGGTTGCACGGGCCCTGGGCAGGCCGGGGTGGGGCGCAGTAGCCCCTGCACACGCAGGCCCCAGCTTGGTCAAGGCTCACTTTGGTTCCCGGGGAAGCCCAGAGAATGCTGATGGGCAGCGGCTGTCAATCAACAGCAGCAGGATGCCACCAAATTGGGGGGGGGGGGGCTGTGCCTCCGGGTTTCTGATTGGCAGGGAGTGTGCGCGGCCTAACTGTTGCCCCCAGCCCGCCTCCCCCGGGGGCACCCAAACTCCAGGGAGGTTTAGGCCAGGCCCCAGGGCCCCTGGTTTCCAGCAGGCCCCCGCTGTCGCCCTCAACCCCCGCCCGTCCCCCCCGCCCGGGGGCTGCGAGCTTTCCTGGGGCGGGCGCCCCCCCCAGGAGCCAAGGTTCGCGCAGGCCGCCCCAACCGTCCCGGTGTCCCCGCTCGGCGACACTGCGGCAGGCGGCGCGGGCGGGGCGGCTCGGAGGGGGCGGGCCGCGGGGGGCGTTGCCATGGTGGCCGGGCGCGCGGAGCCGGGGAGCGCGTAGTCGCGGCGCGGAGCCAGGGCCGGGGCCCGCACAGACGCGGGCGCGGAGCACCCGGGCTGGGGCCCGCGCAGAAGCGGGCGCGGAGCCAGGGTCGGGGCCGGCACAGACCCGGGCACGCAGCACTCCGGGCCGGCGGCCCGCACAGACGCGGGCGCGGAGCCGGGACCGGGGCCCGCACAGACGCGGGCGCGCAGCACCCCGGGCCGAGCGCGCGGCGCTGCCCCGCAGGTCGCCCGCCATGGAGCCGGCCTCCGGCTTCTGCGAGGAGGACAAGGACCTGGACTTCTACGACTTCGAGCCGCTCCCCACGCTGCCCGAGGACGAGGTGAGCCCCCTGCCCGCGGAGGGCTCCGCGGGAGTGCAAGGCGCGGCGCTCGGCTCCCGGGCCTCCCCCCAGCCGCAGGTCTCGGCCGCGGTCTCGGGCGGAGGTCTCCGCTCTCAGTACCCCCACACCGCTCACATTCTCACCGGAGGGGACGGCCCCGAGAATGCGCACGGGACGCGGGGGAGGGGGGTGTCACTGCAGAAGTTGGCTCCTGCGTGGCTCCCGGGTGCATTCTTGGGGACGGGTGTGGCTTGCGGCCTGGACAGAGGAGGACGCTGCTGACCTACTGCCATAGACCGGGGTCCAGAGCAGGAGGAGGGGCGTGGTAGCCCGGGCTGGGGGGGAGGGGCTGCAGACAGGGAACCCGCAGCTCCCACCCACCCACCTCGGCACAGGGGGCTCTGCCTGCTGAGCCCTGGCTGGCTGAGCGCTTGTCCCCCACTTGGTTGGAGCTGCCCCAGGACGCTCCCCATAACCAGGACTGAGGACCAGGGATCAATGCACCAACTCTACTG